TTGTTAAGTGAGTTTCACCACATTTTACAAGTTGGCCACGCCCATCCAGTCACATGTCTGGCAAGCCACTCTCACCCGGTCACATGTCCAGCAAGCCACTCCCACAAAGCAGGCCACACCTACAGAAGAGGTTCTAAAAAAATTTGAAACCCACCACTGAATAGCCTCCTAGTATGTAAATGGGCATGGGAACTTAGCTGAATTGAAATCATCAGGGAATGTATAGGAGAGGAAGTTCTAGCAAGCCAAATAGCCTGAGGTAACAGTGAAAAGAAGATATAGTTAGATTTTAAAGGTTGTAATAGCAATTAACATGATACGCAGAATAAAAAAGGCAACAAGCTGAATAATATTTTATTTTTGATGCAAAATACATATTAGAAATCCTAATACCTCTGAGTATAAATTGTTAACAATTACTTTTGCATGACAAATCTTTTCAATAGTCTTTCTGGATGTCCAATTGCTGCAGCTGAGAAAATGACAATGTCTCAAGAAAAAGGTCAACATGAAACATTCAAAACAGGGCAGTGCCATGATCAAATCCACAGGTAAAAAAAAAAGAATCATATTTAAAGTAGATGAATTCTGGAAATAGACATTTATAACTCATGTTATATTCATGCTATAGTGTCTAATGGTTTGAAATATTTTGAATTGGTAATGCAGGTAGAAGTTCACAGATATTGTTAATACATTATAAAATATCGTGTAAAAGATGCAGATGAGACCTCATCATTCATTATTACAGAAATAAACAATATAAAGTCCTAATGCAGCCCCAATCCCCTGAGGATTTACTACTGAAATTCAAGGGCAATTTGGCTGATCTAAGCATCATAACAGCAATAGTATTTAGACTTATATGCCACTACATAGTGCTTTACACTCTCTTACATATATGCCCCCAGCAATCTGGGTCCTCATTTTACTAACCTCAGAAGGATGGAAGGCTGAGTCAACCTTGAGCCGGTCAGGATCGAACTGCTGGCAGTCAGCAAAGTTAGTCTACAATACTGCATTCTAACTGCATTTAAAGTTAGCCTACAATACTGCATTCTAACTGCATTGCAAACATGTGAGCCGCCACACGTTGCATTAACACTCATCATGTCTTCCCACCTGAAAGATCACCACAACCCAACAACTGATCATGGTTATTCTGCAGGAAAATTGGGACTTTGTTATCATTTCATTTATAAATCTATTCATTACAGACAGTCCTCAACTTACAACCACAATTGAGCCTGCAATTTATGTTGCTAAGTGAGCAATTTGTTAAGTGAGTTTTACCCCATTGTATGACTTTTCTTGGCACATTTGTTAAGTGAATCATTGCAATTGTTAAATTAGCAACACGGTTGTTAAGTGAATCTGGCTTCCCCATTGAATTTTGCAAAAGGTTGCAAAAGATGATTATGAGACTCCAGGACACTGCAACTGTCATAAATATGAACCAGGTGTTAAGTACCCAAATGAAAATCACGTGACCATGGGGATGCTGCACAGGCCATAACAGGGGTGGCTTCCTGCTAGTTCTAACCTCTTCTATAGAAGAGGTTCCACAAATCTACAGTGCCGTTTAGAACAGGTTACAGCTCCCTCCCCACGCCTGTTCACACATCATCAAGATGAAGAGCGAGAGGAGGAATTCTGGGAGTTGAAGTCCACAACTCTTAAAGCTGTCAAGTTTGAACACCACTGGGTTTTTTTTTCCTAAAGGGTTAGGGATGCAAGGCTGTTGTAACTTGACAGCTTTAAGACTTGCATGCTTCAAATGCCAGAGTTTCTGAGCCAAAATTTTGGTTGTTAAGTGACTTTCACCACATTTTACAAGTTGGCCATGCCCACCCAGTCACATGGCTGGCAAGCCACTCCCACAAAGCAGGCCACACCTACAAAAGAGGTTCTAANAAATTCTTTTAATATTTTCTTGAACTGTTTTTATGTAAGCCGCCCGGAGTCCTTCGGGATTGGGCGGCATACAAATCCATTAAAATTGAAATTGAAATTAAATTGAAAATAAAAGATGGCCTCCAGGGTTGACATCACAATTATAATGATCACACTGTCCTGCAGTCATGTAATCGCCATTTGAGACCTTCACTGCTGGCTACTGACAAGAAAATTTATGGGAAAGCTAGCAGGAGATCACAAATGGAGATCATGCAACATTGCACCTGACAACTGTGTGGGATTTTCCTAAAATCTGAAACTGGAGCTGTTGTAACTGTCATCATAAATCAACACACATTCACATGATGTCACACTTTACAGCCACCTCACTTAGTAATGGAGTTCCTGGTCCAAGTATTGTAGATAGCTGAGGACTATCAATATAACCTTTTAACTCCTCCTAGAAAACTTCACAAACATAAATTTAAGAATCTTCAGAGAAAATGAAATATTTCTAGATCCCAAGGTTTTTACTGAAAGACAATGCAATATATAATTCATTCTCCTGTTGAAAGCAATGAAAAAGATAAGTACATAATTGGAGAAATTATGTTATTTCATTTTGCAGTACTAAGAAATGTTAGAATTGAATCAAATACATGTATTCCTAAATCATAATCTATTGACAGCTCTGCTTAAGAAAGCCAGGATGTCAATATAAATACATGCTGCCCAATCTCAGATAATGTAGGCACTTCCCCATCTTTTTGCTTTCAATTATGTACTTACTGTGTGTATACTTTATACAGGAATGTGGCATCTTCATTTCATATGAAATCCTAAGTGTAAACGAGATAATAAAACATCTAAAATGACAAAGAATTTAAAATAACTTACAAAGAACCGTAAAGACGAATCAAGTGATTAATTCTGCATAGTGAAAATACCTGATTAGATTCAAACTTTATTTGTTTATTTATTTATTTATTTATTTATTTAGTTAGTTAGTTAGTTAGTTTGTCATGCATATACGAGATAACAAGTATAAGTATAAACATGGATATGAACACACGAAATGGATATAGATAAATGGGGACAATAGGACATAGTAAAATAGGACAGGGAAGGTAGACATGTTGATACGGTTATGCACGCCCCCTACAGACCTCTTAGAAAAGGGGTGAGGTCCACGCTAGACAGTTTAAGATTAAAGTTACGGGGGTTGTGGGATGTAACAATAGAGTGCATTCCAGGCACTGGCCACTCTGTTATTGAAGTCATATTTTCTGCAATCGAGTTTGGAGTGGTTTACCTTTAGTTTGTATCTATTGTTTGCCGGTGTATTATTGCGATTGAAGGTGGAGTAGTCATTGACAGGTAGAACGTTTTATTTCATATGACTTGCTATACTGATTTAGTGTACTGATTTACTCTTCTAAGATTCTATGATTCATTTATGATAGATCATGGTTTAATTTACCACATTAAAATCATTGATCAGGTTTACTTGGCTAATTTCCCAGAGAAAGAAACAAGTATTATATCACAAAACATTCAAGGTCAACTTTACTACTAGAGGGGTCAAAGATCTTACAAGTCTGACGTAATGATGTTATGGAAGTAATAAAATAATTGTGTTAGCAACTTTGAGTTGGAAAGAATGGATAGCCTCAGGGGTGGGTTCCTGCCAGTTCTAACCTCTTCTACAGAAGAGGTTACACAAATCTACAGTGCCGTCCACACATCATCAAGATGAAGAGCGAGAGGAGGAATTCTCCACAAGAGAAGTCCACAAGTCTTAAATCTGTCAAGTTTGAACACCCGTGGGTTTTTTTCTAAAGGGTTAGGGGTGCAAGGGTCTTGTAACTTGACAACTTTAAGACTTGAGTGCTTCAAATACCAGAGTTTCTGAGCCAACATTTTGGTTGNCACCACATTTTACAAGTTGGCCATGCCCACCCAGTCACATGGCTGGCAAGCCACTCCCACAAAGCAGGCCACACCTACAAAAGAGGTTCTAAAAATTTTTGAAACCCACCACTGGGCCATAGATATGAAAAATGGTCATAAGTCACTTTTCCAATGGTGTTGCAACTTTGACCGATCACTAAATGAACTGTTGTAAGTCGAGGACTATCTGTATTAACTCAAATTCATTATTTATTTATTGAATCATATTCATTAATCTATTTGTATCCCGAATCCCATTAAATCTCTTATTTTATTACAAAAAGGATAATAAAAATATATGATACATTAAAATGTATAAAGGAAGAAAAAAACCTCTCTACCTTTTTACACAGGTAAGATCTAGATGAAAAGGTGCATCTTTAGGAAGCACCCTCTAATTTCAAGGACAGCCTTCCAAAGAATATTTGCTACCATTAAAAAGACTGGAATGTCTGGAAGATGACAATTCCCTGTTGAAATCAGCAGCAAAACCTCTCAAGATGATCGTAGCAATACATATTTATTGTACATATTTATTAAAGGAAAGATAGGCACATTGAGATTATGATTCCAAGTTGTTCCAAGCTTTATAAAGAAGTGAAGTCTCCCTGCAGTTAAGTTCACATCCACCTCTTGCCATCGATTTCTTCCAGAAATGCTATATGACAATGATGGAGAACCTTTTCTGCACCGAGTGCCCAAACTGGAATGCTCATGCATGTCCGTGCGTGCACCGGAGCACTGGAAATCCAAAGACCAGCTGGCCCGCTCACATGCCAGTCAGCTGGTCTTTGGGTTTCCGGCACACATATGTGCACCAAGCAGCTGGTCTTCACATGCACTGGAGCACCGGAAACCCAAAGGCAGCTGGCCGGTGCGAACATGCCTGTTTTTGGCCATTTTTCAGGGCGTTTCTGGGGTATTTTGGGGGGTGTTTTCCAGCACTCTGGTGCTTGCAAAGACCAGTGCGCCAGAAACCAGAAGAGCAACTGCTGACAGCACGCATGCCCACAGAGAGGACTCTGTATGCCACCTTTGACACACGTGTCATAAGTTTGCCATCACGGCTATATGACATCTCAAATTAGTCCATAACCCTGTGCTTTTGTGGTGATCTTCCATTCAAATACAAAGCAGGTCCAACGCTGCTTAGCTTTTTCAAAATCAGCCAAGGTCATTTAGGAGATGCCATCTGTTGTAACTCAGGGCACTATAAGCCAGTACTAATTGGCATGGTAGCTAACGGGTAGTCAGTGTGGTAGCGTCAGCATATGGATACTATAAGTATGGCTAGGAGCCCACCCCGAAAACTGGCCACTCATCTGCATCTTGCAGGACAGAAACAAAGAAGCCCCACATATAGTTTATTTCAGGAATCCAAATGTCAGGTCACCATCCTTTGGACAGCAATTATCAGGCTATTCTTTTCCAGAAAAGGGACTGGTCTTTTCCAGAAGTATGGACAACTATGAAGAATTCAGAATAATAGATAGCATATAGGGGGAAAAAACCCCAATGCTGGCAATGCTAGTGTTGCCATCACTAACACTAAAGAGAAATTCAAAAGAAACTGAAATTTCCTGACAAAAGTAAAAAATGCAAAGGCCTTTCTTTTAGGTATCTGGTAAATGCCAGGTTGGTTCACAATATAACTACTGTTATCCATTATTTGATCATGGATAAAGAACTGATGTAATACCAGGGGTGGGCTTCAAATTTTTTAGCAAGGGGGTTCTCTGCCCAGTTGCTGAGTGGGCATGGCCATGGTAGACGTGGCCTAGTCGGCTTCCTGCACCATGGTGCGGGGTTGCCCTGCCCGGGCTCCGGAGGCTTTTCTCGGGTGTCCGGGAGGGCAAAAATGACCTCCCCAGGCTCCAGAAACCCTCTGGAGGCCATAGGCCATTTTTGGCCTTCCCAAACTTCCTATAGACCTGTTTTTAACCTTCCACAAGCCTCCGTGCGTACCCTTGAGTTACCTGCATCCAAAACGGGCTGTGTGGAGACTTCTGGGAGGAGAGGAGTGGGCAGGGCTAGCCAGGAGTGGGATTTGGGCGTTCTCCCCTGTGAACTATACATTCATGAGGCCTATGTTGGGAAGAATAAATTCAACTCAACTCTATCCTTCTAATTTCTCAGAGAAACACCAACCAAGAGTAGGTGTGGAGCATTGTATTTAGGAAAAGGCATAACAGATGAATCAGTCAAAGCTGGTAACAGGCATGCCTAAACACAAAACCCACTAAATTTGTCTGCCTCAGCTGTAGGGGTTTTATGGTGAGAAAGATGATTCTGTAGACTAATGTTTCTCAAGCTTGGCAGCTTTAAGCATGCTAGCTGAGGAATTCTAGGATTTGAAATCTGCACATATTTATATATAAGACAGGACCTTTAAGAAAATACATGAACAATATTAGTTTTTATATCTTACTATTTTGTGTTTCCTAGTTCTAAGCAGTTAGTGCTAAACTGCATCTCTTACAAATTACTCTATTAAATGTATCTGTGTTAGAGAATGAATCTAATAATAATTGTTATTATTCTGATATTTCATGTCTTCATTATGAAGGGCAAACTTGGTGAAACATTTTGAGTTATCTCAGTACAGCTGCCGATCTGCCCAAGCAATCCCTTCCTCCAGAACCACTTTTACAAGAGAACAAGAGAAATATGGGAAAGTACCTTTTGATTATGCTAGCTTTGATGCCCAAGTCTTTGGCAAATGCACAATGATGCCAACTATACAAGGACAAAAGCCCACACAATCCTTTGAATGTAAGTAAGAGACTGACAAAATTAAACTGTGTTTTGTTTGCATTTTATCTCTCAGGGTATACATACCAAGCAAAACATGCAACTAGCACAGTTAAAAGCTTCATTATGGTAAAAAATAACTAGTTCCTTCTGAGAAATCATGGAGGTCTCTGCAAATCTTGCTGTTGCATATCTTACAGTACATACACATCAACAGTGCTTGATGCTTTTAGAATATATTGGGTATGTGCATCTGTATGTGTATACACACACACACACACACACACACACAGAGTACATATTCATTCTTATGATCACAACTCTTGCGGATAGCAAACAATATATTGTTTAGATAAGACTCACACCCAAGACTCACACCCATATGCACTAATTAATGTAAAAAGGTGTAATTATACAAAGCTGATTATCTCTTACGGAAATGCTACTGGCATCTAAGTTACTAGAATTACATTGTTAAAATAAGATCTTGTCATTTTTATAAGGTCAGAGTGATTGTTGTGATGTTTGTATTGTGGTCCCCTGTAATCCCTTTATCAGATGTACTGGTTGTTTATTGGTTGCTTTTTGCATTTCGCCACACGATTCCATGGTTAAATTGTCCATCTGTTCTTTTTGCTCTGTCCTCTTGCTAAAGAAGTTTCCGTGAAGCTTGCTTAAATAAATCTGTACTTCAAGTGGCTCAAGAAAAAAAGGAGATTGTTTTGAAATACAATTTTGGCTATCTCTAGAGAGAAGTTGAACATAATTCTCAAAGTATAAATTTTACTTCCTCTAAATTTAAAAGCTTATTTTAACTCTATCAGAGTGGGAAGAACATTGTTCAGAACCTCCAATTAATTATGCTTGCTGCCTTGAGTTGAGATATATATATATATTTAGTGTCACAACACTAAATATATATCTTCCTCCCTGGCTTCAGCTGATAAGGAGGAGACCTGTGGCTTAATGGCTAAGACGTTTGCCTAAGATGTAACATAGCACAGGTTCGAATCC